CTTTTTGTGTGTGATGAGTCTTCATGACTTTCTTTCTTGAAATAATCGATGAATTAATTAATTGTGTTATTGATCCACATACATGAATGAAGTAGAGGTAAAAGGAGTCGAAAGATCCGTTCTTAATGATGAACCGAGTCAAATGAACCAGATCTCATTTGGGAATCATAATTCCCATCCCTGCTCTCTCTCTCTTTCTGTGCCTCTGATTCCGCTAAACTCTTCCGCTTTGCGAATCTTCCTGATAAACCAATCAAAACCTAAACTACGCATTTTCTAAAGAGCAGTTTCTCCTCTCTTAGTTCATCAAATTCTGCCTGCACGCAGACAGTTAGTTATGTAACTTTATATATTTATTTCATCGTATGATCCGGCGGCCAGGGTTGGATCAGTGTCTGATGTCTGCCCTGCGCCCTGCCTGCCATGGCGTCCGTCTATAGCGGATCCCATACGTTGAGCAAAGATGATGTCAACTACAGGATGCATTTCCGAATGATTAACGAGCAGCAGGTGGAGGATATCACCATCGAGTTTTTCTACAAGCCGCACACCATAACCCTGCTGACATGCACGGTGCTCAGTTTGATGTACTTCGCGTTTACAAGGTGAGGAGGGACCCGATGCTAACGTTAGCTTAGCATCAGTGATGCTCGGAGACAGAAAAAGCTCCGCTAAGCTCGGCTCCCTGTCAGCTTTTCTCACTCTTACTAACGGCGGATAAACCTTTTTAATCTCCATACTTATTAAACCTGACCTAAAATCCAGTAGCATTGCTAGCTGTTTGTTTGCTTTCAGCTACAACGTTGTAATAGCAGTTAGTAGGGAAACTGGTGGCAACATGCGATCCTTTTAATGAATAATTGATTAATATGAATAATGTATGTATGTAATAACATCACAGATCCACTGTAAAGGAATTAAAAACTATAATTACATAACGAGCTGGGCCGAGTGTAAAGGTGAAGTTATTAACTGCTCATTGATAACTGTGATTTTTCAATGTGTCTGCAGAGATGATGGAAATCCTGACAATAATCTCTGGGTGGGGCTCATTCTGGTCATCTCCTTCTTCCTAGTAATCAGTGTTTTGGCATTTCCCAATGGTGAGTACAAAACACAGCATCCTGTTTCTTCCTTGCAGGATAGAAAGTAAGGAATACTAGAAATAATTTGCTACAATAAAGAAAGTGATTGTCATGCCATAAATAATCTGGTCATAGGTAGGGATGCACCGATCCACTTTTTTCACCTCAGATACAATGCCGATATTTGAAGTTTGATGTTGTCCGATACCGATACCAAAAACAGCACTGATTTATTACCGAGAAAGTGGTTTTATTTTGTAAAAAAAAAAAAAAAAAACTGGGATCATTCTTCTGTGCATATGATTTGAAGAAAAAATGGGAAACAACCCAAATATAAATGTTATGACTCATTTATTTAACAACTGTGCACACAATCTTAACCCAGGGTTTCCACGGGTCATTAAAAATCATTAAAAGCCATTAAATGATTATTTTTTAAATTAAGGCCTTAATTGGCATTAAAATTCATTAAATTTCATAATTGTGGCATTAAAATGGCTTCGGAAAAGAAGCTTGAGGCGGAGAAAAGGCTAGAGAATGGGGGGAAAATTCAAATTTGAACCAAAGTGGCGAAAAAACGAGGAACTCAGGACATGGCTGAAGCCCTCCCACGGTGAAGTGTCATTACAAAGTATCATCTCTGTGATTTGTTTGGCCTGTATACTGTTACATGAAAAATTTCACTTCATTCCTTTGCTTCCATCAAAGTTAGCTGCTTCCCGCTGCTTCCTTTTTGTTTGCCGAGTCCCATAATCTCAGCATGTTCCTTGTTCTGAAATTTCTGAGGAGGTGTTTCATTAAGTTGGTGGTATTATAGTTTGAAGATTTAACACCACCCCTTAGAACATTTCTCCCACAAATATTGCCATTAGGCTAGTAGCCATTGGGCTAGTAGGCTGAGAGCATGAAAAACCTCCACACCGCAGATCCTTTCACTAGCTCCATCATAAACAATATGGCCGTGTTGTGTTGTTGCACTGCCGTATGATGGCATAGCATAGAGCTAGAATGAATAGATCGGTCCCTATATCGAGTCAATTGTCACCGATACGATCTAGTTTTATTTCTTTATGTCTGGACCCATACCAATAAAAATATCGGATCGGTGCATCCCTAGTCATAGGTTTTTGCATTTAAATGTTCAGGCACAGCCCTTAAGAGTGCTGTTATAATAAAGATGTTGCCTGATTTGAGAACAACAAGGAATACATTGCGTGCTTCCTGTTTGTATGAAAAATTCAGCTATGGCCTGTGAAATGTTATCAGTAATATTAAACAATTAGAAACAATCCACTGGATTTGGTTTCCAAGCTTGAGACGTTTAGCTTCCCCTCCAGGAAGCTTTTTTAATTTAAAATGTCAGGAATAGCGTTGAGGTCGAGAACTACTGTATAAACCTTGAACTCAACGCTATTCCTGACATTTTGAATTGAAAAAGCTTCCTCGATGGAAAGCAAAAATCTTCAAACTTGGAAACAAAGTCCAGTGGATTATTTGTTTTTTTTTTTATCATTTTTGGAACGACTATGACCTGGATCACTCAGAACCTTCACTGGCATTAAACAATTAGCTTAAATACAAATGTAGGAAAATGCTCCATGTTTCACTCTATCCTTAATAAATCCATTAGAAATAAATAATAATGGTCTCCAACTTAGTATTTGAGGGTAAAAAAACGAATTTGCCCTGATGTGTTGGATTGTTTAAACATTGGCTGATTTATCATGCCTGTAAAGACGCTTTAAAACAGCTCTCTGATTAATTGGTTAATTATTAATAACAGGCTCAATGGCAACATCACCCCATGTATGGGAAGGAGGAATTAAAAGCAGATAAAATGATCACAAAGTCCACATTTTTAAACTATCTTAAGCATCTTAATGAGGGGGATAGGCTCTCACAGGGGTGTGACTGTAAACATTAATCAGGTTTGGTACAAGAGAAGTAGCTATTGCTGTTTCCTGTCCAATCACCCATCTTTAAAAAGCTTAAGCTGCCAGTTCTGGGCAGTTTTTTGTTGTTGTTTTTTTTAATTGACACTGTCAGGGGTTAAAGGTCACAGTTGGGGGAGGGCAGTCATCAAATTGTTTATCTGCATTGTGATAAATTTCTAGT